GAGATAGGGAATTCTAGTTCTCATTTAGGCATGAAAATTGATTGGGTTAATCACCAGGAGCCGGGGAGTTCTAGTCCCGCCTTAGGTATGAAAGCCGGCCTGGGTGGGACAATCACCAGGAGACAATGAGTTCTAGTTCTACCTTAAGCATGAAAGCTGGCTGAGTCTATCACCAGGAGATGGGGAGTTCTAGTCCCACCTCAGGCATGAAAGTTGACTGGGTGACTTTGTGGTAATCACCAGGCGATGGGGAGTTCTAGTCCCGACTAAGGCATGAAAGTTGACTGGGCTAATCACCAGGAGGTGGGGGAGTTCTAGTCCCACCTCGGGCATGAAAGTTGACTGGGTGACTTTGGGTTAATCACCAGGAGATGGGGAGTTCTAGTCCCGCCTTGAATTCTCAGTCTACCCCGGATTTGGGCCTTAAGCCCCATTGTCCCTGTCTGTAGATGACAGGAGGTTAGATCAGGAACCAAGTCTGATGTTCAGTGAACAAAGGACACCACTCAAAATGGATGGAATTCTAGCTTGTTCCGTCAAACGTTTTCGTTTTTTAGTTGCAATGTACTAAAAACCGTTCAGGGGGGAGGATAAAAGACCCAAAAAGGAAAAGAAAAAGAGGAAGGGAGCGGAGTTCTTCGCCAGGTAGAAAGAGGGTCTTAAAATATATGGGAACCGCTGAGAAAACATGAGCTCGCCCCAGGGAAAACAGGAAATCGTGTGAAGGAAGCTCAAGATTTCTCTGCCTCGATCTTCTTTGGTATAATGTAGGAAGGCTTTCCAGACTCTGTAATTTTAATACAGCTTTTAATACATAGCTTCATCTCAATATGGGTAGTCCTTGACTTACGACCTCAATAGAGCCCAACATTTATGTTGCGAAAAGCGAAACAGGGAGCACGGCCCCCTTTTAATAACCTTTTCCCTCCCGTGGTTGTTAAAGAAGCCACTGCAGTTCTAAAGTTAGCGGCACGCAGCATGTGAAAGAGTTCCAGCGTGTCTCAGAGCAGGTTTGCTTCTCCCAAACGCCCGCTCACCTGTCCCTCTCTCTCTCCTTTCCTGAGGAACCTCCTGGCTTCGGGCCTGTTCCTTCCATTTCCGTCGGGATGCAGAATCCTGTACCTAAATTAGTCATATGAATGGGTCCATGCTATGAGCAGAAAAATACAGCAGCATTAGCAAATCTAAAACACAGATGTGAGCTATCAGCTCCGTAATGAAAAAAGAAAAATAAAGCTTTTTTTGGTGTGTGTGGGGGGGGTTTTGGGCCGGGGGAGGCCCCAAGATTTTCTGTTTTGTTTCCTTAAAATAAGGATACGGCCAGCATCCTAGAGTTTTGGAAATGTTTTTTTAGGGACCAGGGGTTTGGAGATTGCCTAGAGCTACTGATGCTAACTTTAAACAGGAACAAACGAAGCTCAGGAATAATTCTCTCCCACTTGAGTTAGCTAAACCAGAGAGATTTTGTTTCTATTTTACAGTTCAGAAACCACTGGGCAGCTTCTTTAAGGCCTAGATTTGCAGCTGTCTTTACCCCGCCATCTTTTCGTGGACCTTGTGCTTAAATTTAACGTAGCGGGTCCTCAATCATCGTTGTCGGTCACTGTCGGCGACCGTATCCGATTATACCTCTGGGGCAGCGGTCATTAAACAGATACAGCAGGCGTTACAGGAGGGAGGGAACTCTGCCCAACACGCGGGTGGCCTAACCTTGCAAACAAATCGTTGCGGGCTTTTCCCAAAAGGTTAGGGAAAACTTTGCTCAGCAAACTCAAAAGTTTGCGAGGTTTTTTTTTTTCCACCCCTCGTGTTGTGGAAAGAAAAGTTTGGGAAACTATCTTTTCTCTAAACAAAGACTACGAGACTTCGGATGACTTGATATGCAATTTGGGGGCGTGTGTTCCTTTTAGCAACACACAAAGAACGTTGGTGTGTATTGGGTGTGTGTGTGTTGTTTTCACGCCCCAGAAAAATCCCAAGTTGTTGTGAGTTACAATTCCCAGCCAACTTTCGTTAAGCTGGCAAGCCAGCGGGCCCAATTCCCCCCCACCCCACTTTTAAAAATTGTGACTTGATCGAAACTCATCTGATCTCTTTGAAAGCATTTTAAAAAAAAATATATCCAGATTCGTCACCTCTAAATCTGGCCTGATGGTTTGAAATCCGCCGCTCCCCCCCAAAAAATGCTTCTGTTGTAAAAAGATTATTTCAAATTTCCCCCCCTTCAAATTTCTCCTTCTTTTGCATCCCCCCATATCTAAAATCTGGTTTGAAACCCAAAATGTGAGTTACGTAGCTCAACTGCAAAGCTGCAAAAATCTCTCTTGCAAATCTTAAAATATTTCACGCCTGGAGATGTGGACTTTGTTAATTTTACTTTTTCTATTCTTTTTTTGGGGGGGTGGGGGGGCGTGGAGGATGGACCAAGCATGTTCACTACTCTGTCCATCTCGGGACAGCGGCCGTGGCAAATACAGGCAGCCCTCAATTTACGACCACAACCGAGCTCCAGATTTGCCGCTAAGCGACACAGAGCAGTTAAGGGAACTTTGCCCCGTTTTAATGAACTTTCACCCGGTCGTTAAGCGAATCTGGCTTGCTCCGTTGACTTGGAGAGAGAGAGAGAGAGAGAGAGAGAGAGAGAGAGAGAGAGAGAGAGAGAGAGAGAGATGAGAAAGAGATGAGAGAGAGATGAGAGAAAGATGAGATGAGAGAGAGAGATGAGAAAGAGAGAGATGAGAGATGTGTGTGTGTGCGTGTGTGTGTGAGAGAAAGAGAGAGAGAGAGAGATGAGAGAGGGATGAGGGAGAGATGAGAGAGATGAGATAGAGGAGAAAGAGAGAGATGAGAGAGATAGATGAGAAAGAGATGAGAGATGTGTGTGTGTGTGAGAGAGAGAGAGAAAGAGATGAGAGAAAGATGAGAGATAGATGAGAAAGAGATGAGAGAGATAGATGAAAAAGAGAGAGATGAGAGATGTGTGTGTGTGTGTGTGTGTGTGTGTGAGAGAGAGAGAGAGAGAGAGAGAGAGAGAGAGAGAGACTTCCATCAGCCCTCAGATGGAGTATCAACAGCCCCCAGGTCTGGAGGTGGCTGATGAGGAAGAGGAGGAATAGCTGAGTAAAATGCCTGATGTGCAGAGGAGAGGAGAGCAGTGGAAATCTATGGGCCGGTCCTTGGGACCGAAGAGCTACCGCTGCTAACGAAACCCCACCCTATCTCTGGGGATAAAAGGCAGAGGGTAGAGATGAATAGATGTGGCAGACACCAATTCACCTTCCGGACAGACGAGAGAGAAATTTTTTTGCTGGCGGTTGCCGGCGCTCCGAATAAAGGAATCTTTTTTGAGTTCACGTCAGAGGGTTTGTCGTGTTTTGGGGAGCTGGGTCAGAACACCTACAATCATTTTTTTTTATTTTCAAGGTGAAACGGGGAACGGGGAGCAGGTTAAGGACACAATGGCGGCTTACTGCACCTGATAGCCCAACAATCCGGATTCGTGTTCGTCGGGAAGCTCCTCGGTGAATCGCCGCTTTTGACCCGGCTGAGGCAGGGGCTGCACTGGGGGCTGCGTCCCGCTCGGCAGGGGGTTCTTCCCAGGAGCAGCAGGCAAGAAAGGATTGGCTAGCGGGGTCTGGAAAGAGACCAAAAAAAAAGTTGAAATGGACCCCTAATGTTAGAACCATCGTTCCAATGGCACAATGAAGAAGGCCTTGCTTTTATTGTTCTATTCTTTTCCTTTTTAAAAAATCATTTGATGTCCTCAGTTTGGTTTACTTCATTGGCGAGATAGGAGCAAATAAATTTAATAATTATTATTTAATCTTCAATGCAAAGGGCTCCTATTACTCTTGGTAAAAACCATTGATTTCTCCCTCCACAATCGCTCAACTTCTAATTTGCAAATTGTGATAATTTTTGTTTTTCTAGCTGTTTCGCTTCAATTTGTGCATCTGATGGTATTCCAACAACAATGAACCCGAGTTTTTTCTCTCCCACAATAATGTCAGGTGTGTTGTTGTTTTCTTTTCTACAATAGCGATGTCAGGTGTGTTATTGTGTGTTGTTCTTCTTGTTCTTTTTCTCTCTCTTTTTTTTATTTGCACCAAGACAAATTCCTTGCGTGTCCAATCACTTAGCCAAAAAAGAATTCTATTCTATTCTATTCTATTCTATTCTATTCTATTCTATTCTATTCTATTCTATTCTATTCTATTCTATTCTTCTATTCTATTCTATTCTATTCTAAATTCTTTCTCCTCCTTCTCATTATATCCTTTATTCATTAAACATGAAACTCAAGTCAACTGAATATTTTAAAATGTATCACAAATATAACTGACTTTTATTATTTATTTTTATATTATTATTATTAATCATTATTATTAATCATTATCATTATTACCACCTCATCAAACATACAGCCAGATGTTCACACTCGAATTGGCATTTTAGCCTACCTAAAATTTAGCATTTCAGTTCACCTATCCACCTACAGCATTTTAATCAATTTCTAATCAGGTTTCCCAAGGATCTGGGAGTTATTAGTACTTTAATATGGCTTTCAAAAGGAAGCGCTTACCTGGCTGGTGGTGGCAGCGGGCTGGACTTGCGTAATTGGGTATTGGGTGGGCACGGGTGGGACGCTGGTGGGGAGGGCCAGGACCCCGGGCGCCATGGGAACGGCCGGGGGTCCAATGCCCGGCATCACGTAAGGAGGCTGGCCAGGCTGCTGAGGGGGTGGAGCCATGGGGTAGCTCGCCTGGAAGCCATTGGGGGGGTAGTACGGCGGCTGGGGGGGAACGGTTGCGATGGTTGCCGGTTGCGTGAATCCTGGTGGGAGCCAAGAGAACACAGGTTGGTTGACAACGTTGGGATCGAATGTGGTTGTGATGACGCAAAGGGGCGCGGCACAAAAGCAACCAAGTCACAAAAGTAGGTCAAGTCCCTTTAATTCCTCCAACTTGGCCCCCAATTGTCCAGTTATCCTCGGCTGGAGAAAAAAAACTCTCCCAAGAAGAATTTTGAAAGGGAAGAAATTCAGTCTGAACCCAAAGTACATATACAGTATAAATAAAAACCAACACAAACCACACTGCAGCAATTAGCAAGACAGGGCAGGATAAGGAATTGCAGAACTCAAAAGATAACGAAACACACACAGTTGGGAGGACTGCCAGAATCCAGATAAGACATGACAAAGATAATGCATGCATTGCTTCCAGCAAGGTGCTGTGCGCAAACACCCTCTTTATCCTGTTTCCCCAGCTGCAGCTAATGAAGGGAGTCAGGGCCCTTTTCTCCCCCGTAATCCACATTGCTCCCTTATCCATTCCTCCCTGCATGCCCTAGGATGAAGAGGGGGTGGCCCTGGGTCTTCCTCTGAATGCCCAGCCAGACCGTGCCCTTCCCCAGTTTCCTCCACAGCCACCAGAACCACACTCCCCCTCCCTGTCAGCTGTTTGACACCCCCCCCCCTCGGAATCAGATTCCAACAGAGGCATGACAGTGGTGGGAAAGAGGAAGAAATTAGATTGGGAGACCCTCAAAACCCCAGAAAGAACAATCCTACCCATCCCTGGTCAGAAACCTAAAATACAGGTAGTCCTCGACTTACGATCACGACGGAGCCTGAAATTTCCCTTGTTAAGTGAGACATTTGTTTAGTGAGCTTTGTCCCATTTTACGGCCTTCCTTGCCCCGATTATTAAGCAAATCACTGAAGTGGATAAGTTAGGAGCTCGGTCGTTAAATGAATCTTGGCGTCCCTGTTGTCTTTGCTTGACCGAAGGTCGCAAAAGGGGGGATCACGTGACCCCCCCGGGGCACCGCGATGGTCATAAATACAAGTCCGGGACCGAGCCTCTGAATTTTGATCACGTGACTCTGAGGGAGGAAGCTGCCATGGTTCATAAACTGTGAAAAACGGTCCTCAGTCCCTTTTTTTCAGGCCCGTTGCAACTTGGAATGGTCGGTAAATGAACTGTTCTAAGTCGAGGACTAGCCGTCGTTGAGCTGCATGGTCGAGACATACCTGATAAGGGCATCGAAGTGGTGATCTGGTTCACAAACCGCGAGTATTCGGCGTGGACCTTAAAAGGAATTGCAGATTTGGTCATTAGGACCCAATTTAATCAATTTGGCACCCTGAAAATACGACCTACCCTGAAAGTAAGACCTAGTTTGATTTTTTTTACACGTTCGCCCAATATAAGTCCTACGCCCAAAAAAAGCCTAATTAAGACCCCACCCACTCCAGAATGGACGGGTAAAAATTAAGTTAGAGTGGGGATGGGGGTGTGCAGAGCTGCCCTATTTACCTTTGGACAGGTATAGCCAGTTCTCACACACCTGACACCTGCCTTGCCGGCCCATTTCTTCTGCAGCCCGCAAGGCCTCTGTAGCTGATAACAAAACTCAGGATCGATCCAGAGCTCCGTTATGGGATGCAGAGGCCTTCAGGAATGCTTTGCTGGCTGCAGAAGTTCCTGAAGGCCTCTGACAACAAAAAACAGGAGGCCGGGGGCGATGCGCTCAAGTGAGGTTAGTCAGTGGAGGACATCCCCCGAAAATAAGACCTGGTACCTTTTTTGTGGTGGCAAAAAATATAACACAGGGTCTTTTTTTGAGGGGGTGGGGAACATGGCAATTAAACTAATCCACTTATCAACGGAGGCTTTCTGAAATGATCTCCTGTTTGGTGGCAACATTTCATTCCTTAAGTTATGGAATTATTTTACTTCCCAATCTACCCTGACTATATCTTTATCTTATACTCGTTTTGGTCCTCGTTTAGCGACCATAATTGGGGCTGGCAGCTTGCACAGGCCGTCCTCAGCTCGTGGCAAAAGGTGAGCCCGAAAAGCCTAGTCGCTGAGGGAAACCTTTGCTCCGTTTTACGACCTTTCTTGCCACAGAAGCGGTTAGGGGGAAAATGAAGAAAGGGGGGGGGGGGCGGTTAAAAGTGAGCGAACGGGGTTTGTGACGAAGGGGACTTACGGTCTGTAGTAAGTTTTCACAAAGCTTTTTGGCTGCTGCCAGGCCTTCTGGCTTGGGGTGGCTGGAAGAGAATGAAGGGAACGTTCAGCGTGAAGGATGACGAGGCAATCTTCTTAAATTGGAGGAGTTTTAAGAATTTCAGGAACTTAAAAGCAGGAGGAAGCTCCTTGGCAGGTGGCGTAGCATTGTGTTTTATCTATCATCCTCATCTATTTGTCTATTATTCTCATATCTCTCTTATCTATCCACTCTATCATATCTAATTCTATCATTCCTATCTATCTTCTATCTTCTCTACCATTATCATCTATCATATCTATCATATCATTCAATCAATTTATCTATCTTCTCTATCATTCTTATATCTTCTCTATCTATCCACTCTATCATATCTAATTCTATCATTATCTACTATTCTATCTTCTATATCATTCTGTCTGTATCTATCCATCCTTCCTTCCTTCCTTTTTCTTTCTTTCTTTCTTTCTTTTTCTTTTCTTTCTTTCTTTTTCTTTCTTTCTTTCTTTCTTTCTTTCTTTCTTTCTCATCTGTCTCTTCTCTTTCTATCCACTATTATATCTATATAAGTCTATCATTCTTATCTACCTACCTACCATTCTATCTTCTGTATCATTCTCATCTGTCTGTCTCTATCAATCCACTCCATCATATCTACCTACCTATCATCCTATTTTCTCTATCATTCTCATGTCTCTACCTATCCACTCTATCATATCTATCCTATCTATCTATGACTTGCAGACTTCAACTTCCAGGGTATTCTGGGAGTTGAGGTCCACAAAAGTATCGTCCCCTCCCCCCTCCCCACCAGACCTCTGACCTAAAGGAATCCCGCCTCCTGCTCACCTGATGTATATGTACATGGGTTCAAAGGCTTCGCGGCCAGACGCGGGTTCGATGCAGCCAGAGCCCTTCCCCCGAAGGAACACCTTCGCCCCCGTTTCTATCTGGATGTGCTGCAGGTACGAGCAGCCGGGCCCTTCCACCTTGTCCTTGATGCTGAAGGTGGGCACGGCGTGTTCCAAGCCCACAAACAGCTTATCCTGGACGTAATGCATCTGTAAGACACACACACACACGCACACACAAAAATATCCAAAAGTTAACCCAGAAGGGAAGCCGTTGAGGCCTGCTCCCTTCTTTAAACCTCGACTTTACGGCCGTTCCCTTTAGAGACCGGTTACGACAGCACTGGAAAAAAAAAACGATTCGTGGACAGGGATTCACACTTCCGAACAGGATCGACATTCAGCCGATCAGCGTGCAATTTACCCTCCGTTCCTTCTCCTCCGGGAGGGACTCCCGGTTTACCTTGAAGGAAACCTAGAGGGTGTTGTTGTTGGATGGCACAGTGAGGTCTCCGCTGTCTGGAAGCTGGACCACTCTCTCCATCGCGTTTCTGTAAGAGGACGGTTTCGGCCTGGCCCTGGCTCAACGGACCGGGCTTTCTTAATCCTCTAGCCTAGGGTTCTCCAACTTTGGGAAGCTTTTAAAGACTCCCAGAATTCCCCCGGCCAGTTCTAACTGTCAGGGGAATTCCTCCTTAGTTCAAGGTTGCTTCTCTGCTTGTTGAGTTTCCCTCCGTTGTTTCTCCTCCTACTGTCAACTCGTAAAGCATCCCTAATGCCTGTTTTCGAGTTGCCATAAACGGTGTGTGTGTGTGTGTGTGTGTGTGTGTGTGTGTGTACGTGTGTGTGTTGGAATCTGAAGGAGCAGTATGACAGTTTAAAACCAGAAGTACATTCCAACACTTATCTTACAAAGTTTGTAGCTAGGCTACCGGATCTTCTTCCCATGAAAATCCTTCATTGGAGGATGTGATTGATGACGCCCAGCCCATGAACTGTGCTTTGTTGGAGAATCTGATTTAGGACACACCCAGGGAGAAAACAGAGTCACAGGGGACCGTCAATTAAGTGTGGCAAGAGTTGGCTTCATATGGGTCAATGCTGACATGTTTCTCCTAATAAATCTTTTGGATTTTTTTGGAAGATGGGCTTGAGGTTCACGATTTAATCAGGGCAATCGCTGGAACCCTGACCCCCTACCCTCAGGTGCTTTGGAGAATAGCTTGACCCCCCCAAGTCTTTTCTAGGGCAGCCCCTCAAATATGGGAACCCTGCTATCATGTCACCCCAGGGCTTTCATCAGACTAGACGTACCCAATTCCAGCAACCCTTCTTTATATACTTTTAGCCTCTAGTTCCCTAATCTCTGCACTCTTTCCAGAGTCTCAACATCTTTTTTTACACTGCGGAGACCAAAACGGGATGCGGTATTCCAAGCGTGGCCTTACTAGGGCCTTACAAATTGGTATTAAAATAAATCTGTGCCTTTGGATTTAGCAACCGCCAGAGCCCTGAATCGCCTCGCTTTGCCCATCGTTATCAACCCTCCCGAAGCATGTTAAAAGCGAACGTGTCCTGTTTTCCATGCTACCAAGCTGGGAAAAAAAATGTGTTTTCCTTCTCCCAGCAATACTTACTCCGCCAGACTGGAAGGGTGTCTTTTGCCCCACGGCTGGGGGCAACGGAGTAATGGGGGCGGGCTGGTGGTAGACGGTCACCGTGGCCCCGTTGAAGGTGGGGCTGGACCCCGTGGCGGCTTTGACGACGCCGTTGGTGATGATTTCTTTGATCCGGTTGACAGCTCCTGCAAGGGCCGAAACAACGGCGTCAAACACACCGAACCCTGTACGTTCCCCGTTGCTAAGCAGGCTGGTCGTTAAGCGAGTCCTGTCTGATTTTACCACCTGTGTTGCCGTGGACGTGATGGGGACTGAGCCACTTGTCTCAACTTGAACAGTGGCTTTTCCCCCGCCAGCTTGGTTTAAGAGGGGCGGACTTCGACTCCCAGAATCCCCCAGCCAGGATGCTTTTAAGATATGTGGACTTCACCTCTCAGAATTCCACAGCAAGAAATACGGATTTTAAATCCCAGAATTTTCCAGCCAGCCTGCTTTAAGACACGTGGACCAACTCCAAGAATTCCCCAAACCAGCAGGCTTTAAGAGGGAAGGACTTCAAAGTCCCAGAATCCCCCAGCCGGGACGCTTGAAGATATATGGAATTTTAACTCCCGGAATTCCGCAGCCAGCATGCTTTTAACACAAATGAACTTCAACTCCCAGAATTCCACAGCCAGCACGGAGTGACTTAAGCCACAAAATCATCCACAGGATGCAAAAAAAAAAGCCCCAGTATTTTTTTCCCCTGAATGCTGACTTTCTGATTTTTGCCCACCGAATCCAAACAGAGTCGACTTACGGTCCACCAATTCTCTCGTCTGCCCTTGGACGTGCAAATACAGAGGACGATCACTGAGGAAGGGGAAGAAAAAAGGAAGGCACGTTTCAATTTTTATTTTTTTAAACAATCCGAAACCACGATTAAGGCTTCAGACACCGACGCTGAAAAGTATCTTGCGGAGTTGAGAATAATGAGTTGTGGGACGCTTGATTTATTTCTTTAAAAAGAGATAAAAGGGAGATGGAAAGAAAGGCCGTTCGTACCCAGGGCCAACTTTGATTTTTTCTTCCGCAGTCATGTAGCGCCCCCGAGTGGAGACTGCTGCCCCACTGAGCTTGCTTATCTGCAGATATTGGGGGGGGGGGGGGGGGAGAAAGGGGGAGAAAATAACCACAATCAGCCATGCAAGAAAACCCCCAAATTCCTCCTAAATGTCTCTTTTGGGAAGGTGTTTCTACCAGACCCCTCCCAAATCAAGGAAGCTACAGTTAATTATTATTTTTGTGTGGCTTCTTTCTTAGCCCTTTAATATTTGAAGACTTCAACTCCCAGAATTCCCCAACCAGCAGGCTTTACAATGGGTGGACTTCAATTCCCAGAATTCCTCAGCTAACTATGCTTTAAAATGGATGGACTTCAACTCCCAGAATTTCCCAGTCTATTTTAAAATGGTTGGACTTCAACTCCCAGAGTTCCCCA